CCATACTGGCTGGGCAACTGACTGCCGCGCAACGTGTCATGGGCTCAATCCCGCAAGGAGCAACTCTCTGATTATTGGTCCGGTCCGGTCTCTGATTGTTGATTCACAGATTATTGGTCTGGGTCTGGGTGTGATGTGTATGACAACTTGTATTATTGTAAACGGAGCCACGATGCAGGAAAAAATACTAGCGTGGGGCAAAGTTAAATAAAATATAATTGTAAATTTGTCTAACTTACTGCGGTCAATTGTGATGCTGAAATAAATTTGTACTTTTACGCGCAGGTAATCATGTTTTTGTGTAAAAAGTAAAAAAAATACATTTAAATACTACAATTCAAAAATTTTTAGGACAATTAAATTATTTTAGTTACCTATAATAATTTTGTCATACCAACAATAAGGATTTATGTAAAAAAGTGTTCCCACAGCCATCATCCTAAATACGTAAGTACCATACCTACTTAACACTAAATTAAACACTTAAAAATCACAACCAAAATGATCCCACAAAAATATTACCAAAAAAAAAAAGATTCACACGTTAACAATGACAAAATTAACCCTATCATCGCTCATGGCTTTTTAAATACTGTGTAATCGTTAATGTTTATCCCACTTGAGGATGAGCGTGTCATATTTAGTGGCAAAAAGTACCACCTAGTGGAAAAGAACTCGAGTGTCATTTTAGGACATTATGGATTACAAATATTTCGCATGACAAAAAATGTGTGAGAATTGGAAGTTCACACGAGTATTTCGACCTATTTTTGTAACGTTTCAATAAGATCCCTTGAAGAGGCAAAATGATACTATTTTATTTGTTATTGTGTTTACGGCCTTTTGCTTTATGAACGAAAACACTCTGGAAAATATTGAGTACATACATAACGAAAAAGATTGTTTTGAATCCAGTGAAGCAGTTACCACATCAAATAAGCAGCTTTGTTGTGTGGAAACCTATCAAAGAAACTCTATGAATAAAGGGACTTAACGCCTGTCTCACATAAGATAAGTCATGGTACGCCAAATAGCATGTATCTGACATACCTGCCTACCTACTTGTACTTCTTTTAATGAACTACAAATAATGATAATTATACTCATGTAAATATAGTATACATACTGAGAAAAGCTCTACTAGTTACGAGTCACAGAGGGCCTTTTCCTCATGCGTAGTATGCACGGTCACGGCGTCGTCACCGCATCGTTAGTTTTAGTTAATAATTCATCAATTTCTTAACAAATGCAATTGGGATAAGGTCAATTTTGACCCTTAACAAAATTTGCTGATATTTAACCAGCAAGCAATCTAATGACGGTATGTTAACACTAAACAGGCGTGTAATAGTGGCACGCGCCTTGCGGGACAGTTGGCAAGTGACGTCACGCCCGACACGTGCCACGCACGCGCACTCAAGTATGACCTATCAACAGACTGCTATGATACACAGATTGAGTCCTAATTAACTTAATATGGATATAGTGGACTTGATAAAATAGTTACTTAATTTAAAGAAGTTGTACTTAGAAAACTTGACAATCGAGTATTCTTACTTCAGCAGCTGTAGCCAAATGCCATTTAGCGCTTGTCTACATGTAGAATAGAAAACCAAATTATATGGAATTGACGTAAATTTTGACACTTGTCAGTGTCATCCCCATACATTTTGATTTCTACTCTCTCTGTAGACAAGCGCTAAAGTGGGCACTTGGCTAAAGGGCCAGGGAAGTTAAAATTCTTAATCAGTATCTGATCTACTACTTACCTATTATATTCTACTGAATTAATGCATGGTATTGGGTCGATAGGTGTTGTTTAACGTACTGTACAATAGGTTTTTTTTAATACGTAGATTTAGAAGTTAGTAAGTAACTCTGAGGAAAATAGGGTTGCAATTGAAGTAATTATCCTATCCCTTAATGTGTGTTAAATAAAAATCTTTACTAATTAATTATAATATTTATTCAGAAAACAAACATATCATAACATAACAAAAATATGCATCAATTACACTTTCACACCCACAGCACGTGTCTTACAAGTGTAGAAGCGTGTCGGTCGCGTGCCACAGACTGCTATCATAAACTGTTCATAATTCCGCCACTAGAAATACGATCGGTATAATTGACCAAGTGTCTTAATTTTTTATTGTTTATTCAGTAGCTGTCACTGGGTTAAATATAGGTACTGTTGTTTATGATTTTAGTTACGTGAAATAGTTGTTATTTATGATCAGAAATTACAGTAAGAAATAAAATTAGTACAACATGGTTACCAATCAACTCGCACAAAAATAATATAGTATAGTAGGTACTACAACACGTAGGTAAAAAACAAATATATAGCAACTGTAAAAGTTACTACACAATTCAAATTATCCTTAAAATACATTAATGATGCAATCTCCCTTAAGTTATTAAAGAAACAGAAGTAAACATCTAACAAGCGTTAAATGAATACAAATAAATAACGATTAAATAAAGTCTGTGGTTCAACTCCTACGCATGTCGAATTTGCCAATAACACGCCGATGTCACGGCTGTCATTGCTTAATTTGAAGCTACTGGCTTGGAATTAAAGAGGAATTTATGTTAAGTTATATTCATATAGTCAACGATAATTAATGTTTAATATAGTAAAAGTAATTTTAATTTTCATAAGAGAGAGTGGGAAAGGCAGTGTTTCCATTAGTAATCAAGGTATTAAAATAGATCGTATGTAATTTTTAATACCCCTTAAGCAACTCAAGTGACGACAGATTTAGTTAATTTATTTTTCTCTGATCAGCCTTTTAGAAAGAAAGATAAAATAATCGATACCGAGCACGATGCACCAAAAATACAAAAATTATTAAACAAAAATAATTTTCCCCAGTGAAACATCACCAATAAGTATCTACCCTGTTCAAATCCTGCTGTTTATTTGTACCATTTATTTTACGAAACTTATTTCGTTCACGAGTAAAAACCCTAGTGTAGCCTCAGGGCCGATTTTGCCAGATTAATTTTAACTGAGGAATAACTTTGCCTATTTGACAAAAACAATTTATTTCTAAAAACTGTAAAATTTCAAGTTTATTCCACAGTTAAGAATTAACTGATGATTAAAAAATCGGCCCTTAGTCTCATTAAAATATTGAAAAATTATACCTTATAATATAATACTATTTAAAATTTTTAACCACCATTCAGAATCTGAATCATCAATCTTATTTCCTAGATCTTCTACTAATATTACTATAAGCCCCGAGTAATCCGTGCCCAGAGCAATCTGACCGATTGTCGCGGTGTCAAACCGTTTACCCTTATCGCTTATAGCCAACACTATGGAACACAAACAACGCCACAAGGCCCATCTGTCACACTGCATCGATGCACCACGAACAATAGCAACCATTCATACAACCAACTTTTTATCGAAAAAATGGATTTTGGGTCAAAAAATTGTGTATCGGAAATTCGGTTGTAAGTACCAGGAGAGGGGAGTTTATCGTAAAATTAATTTTCGGATAACAATCACGCTTTTTGTTGAGTGAAAAATTAGTTTATTGATTGATTTGTACTTATAAAAATGACTGAACACCTTTTTCAGAAGGAATTCAGCTCGCATACCTATTTAGAACATTCAATGACACTTTAATTACAGGACTTTTAAGTTACATGTGAATATTCTCATCTCATCATCATCTTATGATGTCTATTAATCTTATTAACAAAAATTACTCGATATTTTTTTTTCTCTTACAAACCGAAATAATTATTGACAGTTTCTGTAGCAATTTATAAGCATCGCAAACCATTTTATAAGCAAGAAAATTATTTTTGTAGTAGAAGTATAATTGACTATCAACATAGCTAAAGTCTTCCAAACCCCCATTTAAAACTTAGACAATATTACTTATACCCTATACCGAACAACATATCACAAAACTGGTAGTAAATCTCGAATAAAATAAAGTCAACTAAAACTATTGTAGGAGCGGCACCTGGCCCTACAGCCCTGGTACCGTGGTCCATTGTGTTGCACCCTCGCGCAGACCGCGTGGGGCAGCCCTTAAGATTTAATTACCGACCTTTATAGTTACCGCTACTGTTTACTTTTATTATATAGCTTTGTTTGATGAGTAAAATTCTATGTATGTAACTAAGGAGTTTAGATCAATAATGTGGCCGGTGTTCAGTAAACTTATGCTAAAACGTAGCTTGAAAGATATCCTCTGTACTTCTGTAGTCCTAAAGTTGTACTGCTTGTGCTGTGTGCTTTGGTAGGCAGAAATAGCAGAGCGTCACCAAATACAAGACTTTTATTTAAAACTCCATCTCTAGCTTCCATCACATTCATGCATCTTACCTTAAAATTAGGTACTTAATTTAGAATCGTGTCAGTTCGTTACGTACCTAATTTCTTAAGCAGGAATTGCCTAATATTTCTAGAGCGCTTTATGTTGAAACACTAACTGCTGCACGTAGTAATTATACGGTAGTTTCAAGTCGCTCCCACTTTCCAACATACGTACATAGATAGACGCACATGGATTTGTCACTAAACATCGAATGGTCAGAAGAGACATAAGATTATTGTAATAAAGACACTTATTGACTTGACTTCTCGCACAATGCCTCTCTTTCCTATACCTACTGCTCTCGTGTATCTATAGGTAAGTCACGCATCGCGACGGAGCTTTCAAGTAGAAATCCGCTTCGAGATCTAGTATAAAGGTGTTCAATTTTCAAAAATTACTTTCGCTTTTCTCTCTGACATCTTGGGTAAAATATTGTCACTTTCCATTACACATGCTGTTTCCAACTCACCCACTTATATGGTGCTTACTGACATAGAAATCTGAGGTGACAGCTAAGGTAAATTTTCCATAACCTACGCGCACAGATTTCAGTTAAGTCCTACTAATAAAATTTGTCTGAATATTAATGAACTGGCTCCAGGTATAAAAGCTAGGAATTACTGAATATCAGCACATTCGAACCACACTCGTGGAACAGCATACATCATTTAATAAACTACAGCTTTTATTATCTCAAGATGAAGTTTGCTTTGGTCCTTCTGGTCGCAGTGACTTGCTTCTGGTGCTGTGAGGCGCAGAGTGCTAACTTCTACTGTGGCCGTCGACTTGCTGAGGTGCTGTCCAAGTTATGCTGGGATCATTCGGAAGAGAAGCGTGATGCTGGGTGGTGGATGTCTGCGGACGCGGCTCGGTCATTGAGCGGGGTTCGCGGCAAACGTGGTCCTGTCGACGAGTGCTGCGACAAGCCCTGCACCGTGGACGAACTACTTGGCTACTGCTTCTATTAAGGTTACATGAGAACACTTGACTGATTGTTAAATAGTGAATTAGATTCCAGCATGTTGGATTGTTTTTGATGTAGGTAAATAAATTTTACAGGTTACCCGATTTTTTGTTTAATTTTATCGCATTATTATCCTTTCAATTTTCTTTTCAAGAGTAATGTATTAAATACACACAAATATAAGTATAGTGTATGTATATGACACAGACCATATCTTCAGAAATAAAATACAAAACTTACAATTACACCTACTGCCTACTATGTAATTATCAATTAATATAAATGGTAACAAAATCTGCAGTACATCTATCATCCCCAAAATCCCCGAGGAATGATCATGAATATCAAACGGGCATCGCATAGACCCCAGTTATCTGATCCGGATTAAACCGGTAAAAAGCAGTCATTATTCCGCCTCCATGGACCAAATAGGATTTTTTATTTGAACCACACCTCGGGCTATTGTACGTGGATTGTCATTGGACTAGAAAATTTTATTCTTTTTTTATATTTCATACTATGTCGTTTCACATTTTTTGCGATAAAAAATCAATCTTATTTTCTACCACGATCACATGAAAGGAAAAAAATCCCTCCCCCCCCCCTCCATGACGCGCAACAGAAGGGACTACAATAAAATACGTCGTGTAGCTGATAATTATGATAAGATAGGTTTTTTTTGTCGCTAAGTCTAATTGCAAAGCTTACAGTTAAATACTTCAACTAGGCCGGTAACGCACTTGTCAAGCCTCTATAGTCCCAGGTGTCCAATGGCAGCGCCGATTGCATTTTTTCTCGATATTTGTTTTGTCAATTATTAAAAATAAAGGCTAAAATTTATTTTTACTCTTACAAATCAAATAACGGATATCAAACTCAAAACCAATGGCAATGTAGTGGCACCATCACCTAACCATATCACAAAGAACTATACCTCTAACACTGAATAAGTATCCTACATACTAGTAGGTACTTGCAATAAAACATTTTGCATAAATCCCTAAAATGCCCCATAGGTCCCTCTTTTAAGATGATATCTCAGCACATTAGCGTTAATCCCAAAGATAAAGATCGGGTTTCACAATACTATCGCTCATTTCATCTACCCCTTGTCATAGTTGACAGTTATTTGTCAAAGTTTGCCAGAGACAAGGATACAGTTTTTTTTGCTGTCAATATTTTGTGTTCTTGTTAGTAAAGAGGTTTGTACGGTTGTTTGTTTTTAAAATGATATAGAAGGACGTTGAAAAAGACATCCATACATAACTTCACGCCTGTCTCCCATACTATGGAATACCAGTTGCTAGAATAAGGTATGACTACTTTTTATTTTAATGTCCGTCTGGTAGATTATTTTAAAACATTACACACGTATTTTTTATTTTTTTTCAGTAACGAATACTTTCAACGACATATTGATTTGAATTGTCGCGTGACGTCACTTCTATGTACATTTTATACGTAGTAATGACGTTTTAGCCCCCACTCCGAAACTTTGATTTGTTATATCTGAGTATCATTTTATTATACAACAGAATAAAAAAATACGTGTCTTATATTTTTTCATTACCTAACTAACTGACGGACTAATTAGATTTTTAATTTTCATACCCTGTCATTATCCTTAATCTTACACAACGACTTTGAAAAAAGGCGGACAAAGTCTCTTAAAACAACGACTGTGGCACCTGGCTACTATAGACTTACACGCATAATACACACACATTGACATAAAGATCACCAGTCGCATGACATGGCCCGTCATTAGAGGCAAACCACACGGGCGGTGCGGCGCCGCACCGCAAGACATTTCACGGTGTGCTCCGGGTCCGCTCTGCTTAGACCCCTCCCCGCCTCGTATCGATTCCGATGCGCTTGCGGTGCGGCGCCGGAGCACACCGCACGGCGCCATGTGGCTACAATGCATTTTTGTATGTAGAAAACCGCAGCGGTGCCGCTCAGGCGCCGCGCCGCCCATGTGGTTTAAGCCTGACACTTCATACATGCATGTTGCAAGTACATGCACACATGAATACACCACCACCACACCATTTTGATGCTTCAATCATTTGTCAGTGACTTTACGTCCACCTTTTTCCAACGTCCATGTTCTTACATACCTCTTTCGCTCCATCAGCAGTTATCAGTCTTAAATAATAATGGATTTTGTTAAAACGTTCGTGTGATCTTGTTGTTTTATATTAAACTTTATTTCTCCTGTATTTTTAATATTTGTAAATGCTGTTTAATTGAGTGCTCCAATGTGCTTGAATAACCAGATGCATGAACGTAATGGACGATAAGGAAATATGTAAGGATCGTAGCTATCTCTACTTTCTGGCTGTCCTCACGGGATACCAGAGTGATTTGATTGGAATACCTACTAAAACTAAAAGTAGAACCAAAATTGATAAAAGTAAACAACGAAAATCAGGCAATCTTTGACAATAAATTTATTTACATCAATAACAGTAATTCAAATCAATAATCGGGCACCTAATTCATTAAACAACAATAAGTCGAATGATTTCGTGTTAATATTATTAATAATTATAACAGTAGGTAAGAAGTTCATTCAAAGTGCAAGGTTTTAAACAGCACTCATCAACAAGACCACGTTTGCCGCGAACCCCGTTTAGTGACCGAACCGCATCCGTTGACAGCCACCACCCAGCGCCACGCTTCCCTTCTACATGATTCTGGCATACTCGGAACACTTTCTCAGAAAGTATACTGCCACAGTAGAAATTAGCACCACTCTGCGCCTCACAGCACCAGAAGCTAGCCACTACGACCATAAGGACCAAAGTAAATTTCATCTTGAGATAGTAAAAGCTGTAGTTTATTGAAAGATGTATGCTGTACCACGAGTGTGGTTCGAATGTGCTGGTATTCAGTAATTCCTAGCTTTTATACCTGGAGCCAGTTCATTAATATTCAGACAAATTTTATTAATAGGACCTGACTGCAGTTTGTGCGCATAAGTTATGGAAAATTTACCTCAGCTGCCACCTTAGCTTTCCATGTCATTAAGCATAGGTATTATTCGCTTATCGGAACTAGGTGAAACGGAAACAACGTATAATAGGAACTGACAATTTTCACCCAAGATGTGGATAAAGCAAAATGCATTTCGTGTTTCTAAAAAGTCAACTTGACTATCAGTAAAATGCGCAAAAATGTCCTCTATGTACTATATTTCATTATGGAGTTTCCTAACACAGGCATATCTTGCTTAAAAGGAGGCTCCAATCACAATTTATAGGTTCCGTAATCTGTTTTTACAAATAAACGATTTTTATTATTCATTTATTATTTATTCATTACTATCATTACATTACTATGTATATACTTATTATTTCGCCTTAATTAAACTATCCTAATACTTAAACATCGAACAACGAAAACTAAAAAGCTCGATCCTTATTCGCATGGAGCGAGACAAATCGATAACCACACTCCTCTTTTATTTACACATTGCAACAATAACATGCAATTATATATTCAAAATAATGTTAACACTTGACAATGGTTTACATTTGAATGTAAAGGATTAACACGCGGTCGACTGTGACCCGGTCACTTGTTAAAAAAGACAATAGAGAAGATAATTTGATTTATTTTCGTCACGGATTAAGATCGCTGGGGTTAGTTAAACATTTGGTTTTAGATTAATGTTAATTAGCGTAACCAAGGTCTGAAAATATGGTCCTTTTGGAAACAATAGTGTGTCTCACGAAAATTGCCATACACCAATATGTAAGGTTGTATTTTCGTGTTTATAAGTAAGTAGTAGATATCAGTACCAGTCATCACTTTCGTCCAAGAGACACCTTTAGCTATGTAGCTACTCACAACTTACTCTAGGAAACTATGGAAATTTCTATGACTATAATAGCAGAGCCAAAATGTCTAATCAATCCACAAACATTCGTGCATTCAAAGAAATTAATAGATTTACCGAACTTATCTTAACTAATATGTAAGTACAGAAATGCAAATGAACTTGCAACGTCCACATAAGAGGGGTGAACACGAACCTCCCTGCCCAATGCACCCCATCCCTTGTGCAGTAATAGCACCCAACCCTCATCTTAGTGCCCTACTTGTAACGTACTTGCCACCCTCGATTTTAAATGCTGGTACTTATTTTTTGAAAGACAGGTCTGGTTAACTATTTAGGTAATATTTTCTTTTACATTCTGAGATGATCAAACACAAACTATAACATACCTTATATTAAAATGCATTATAACAATAGGCAATTAGGTACATAATCTTCAAAAAGTTTTGAAGTCAAAATTATGTCTATAAAGGATTTATTTTAGTACATGCAAACTTTATGCTCGATATTTTAACCCTGGCACAAAAAATATATCCGAAAGCCGTATGGAAATTCGAATGTGGAATAAAAATTAACAAGAGATCCAAGCGGCCCATCAGACGGGCGCTGATTCGCAATTTTTTCAAAATTTCAGTCTGTTTCAAAATTTTCGTAACGTAATAGTTTTTTTACAGTTTTTTTATATACATTTTTTCGCCAAGATTGACAAAATTAACAGTATCCATCATGGTAAGTGCATTTAATAGAAATAACAGTATTTTTGACTTGTGCGTGACTTCTGCTTGACTTGATTACTCGTCAGACTCTTATTGGTGCAGAAGAGCATTCCTCGTATTTAGTCTTCGGTAGTTATAGAAAAATATATCAGTGCCAGTGATAAATTATTTATTGTTCACGTCATCATGACACCCAAGTTCTTGTGCTATTGACAGAAGATTTCAGGTCTGCTACTACTTCTGGAACACTCCAGCTACGAATATTGTTTACTGTTATATATTTTGGTAGTACCTATAGCATCTAAAAATAATTTGGTTCTATTTGCAGGAATAAAAATGTGATCTTCCAAAATGACGGATTCATAGACGGCCATTTTTAGATGGTCATCTTTTGTCAAACGGGTCTCTAGAAACTGTTAAATATCCAATAAATAAGTTACTTTACTATGGACCTGATGCCTGCCTAACATGGCTAGTCTTCGCTTGTGCATTCACAATGATTGAGCCCCCTGCTTTGTTTAAATGTCAATAACGTGTGATATATTTGTATGCGAGCAGAGGGAGTGCATCTCAGTGCACGTTGGGCAGGCGGGCGTGCAGATGGGTGTGGCGTGCTGGCAGCTCTACTGCCTGGAGCACGGCATCCGTCCTGACGGTACCTTGCCGGCCTGTGAGCAGGACCCCAACGCGGCTGACTCTTGTTTTAATACCTTCTTCTCTGAAGCTGATCGAGGAAAAATGGTGCCAAGGGTAGTTATGGTGGATTTAGAGGCTACTGTTATAGGTAAGTTATTTTGTTTGTCCATAAGTCGAAACAATCAGTTTGGACCAGGTCCCGATCTCGTGTTGCAGTAAATATTACTTACTTGAAATGAATAGCTTTTAGAGTTAATTATTTTTGTCGACTTCTGCACATTAAAATGTTAAAACTCTTATTTATTATTGGGTGGCTAGTTCGAATAAGTACCAATTGTTGCTTAATGCCTCATTGCTCTCTTGCAGACGAGGTTCGTTCAGGTGAATATCGACAACTATACCACCCAGAACAGCTGATCACAGGCAAGGAGGACGCGGCCAATAACTACGCGCGTGGTCACTACTCCACCGGCCGTGAGGTGCTGGGGCCTGTCATGGAGAGAGTCAGGAAGTTGGCAGACCAGTGTACTGGTTTGCAGGTAATTGAATAGTTCATTGTCTCGCAAATACCATTGTGTTTAAGAAAAAACTTATTACGTATCTCATAGTTATTATGTTCGCCTATACCTGTACTATTTTTTTATATTTATTTCGTGACTGTCTAGGGTTTCTTCGTATTTCACTCTTTTGGCGGTGGGACAGGCTCCGGCTTTACATCACTGCTCATGGAGAAACTCTCAGAAGAATTTGGCAAGAAGAGTAAACTTGAGTTTGCTATTTATCCCGCACCGCAAGTAAGTATTACATACTTGAAAAATAGTGTAAATTTTTTACATTGGTTTTTTCATTGCATTTCATCTTGCATCCCGTCAACGATTATTGGAAGCGTTTTAATTCTACTCAGGTGTCGACAGCGGTAGTGGAGCCTTACAACGCAGTGCTGACGACACACGCCACCATTGGTCACTCGGACTGCGCGTTCATGGTGGACAATGAGGCCATATACGACATTTGTAGGCGGCGGTTGTCCATTGAGAGGCCGTCTTATGCCAATCTCAACAGACTTATTTCACAAGTGAGGATCATTTACTACTACTACTACAACCTGTCTAAAGAACGTTTTTTCCTTCGTTTTTATACTGGTAATCAGATTTCTCGCAATCTAGAGCTTAATATTTTCACCAATCCCAAGTACTTGTGTCCAGGTGGTGTCGTCAATCACAGCATCGCTGCGATTTGATGGAGCGCTGAACGTGGACCTGACTGAGTTCCAGACAAACTTGGTTCCCTACCCGCGTATTCACTTCCCACTCGCTGCTTACGCGCCCGTGGTCTCGGCTGATAAGGTACCTCGGCTGATAACTATCAAGTTTTAAAACTTGACAGTTACTATCATCACTACATAGTATAAAACAAAGTCACTATCAGCCGTCTATCTGTCCCTTTGTATGCTTAGATCTGTAAAACTGCGCAACAGGTTGTGATGCGGTTTTTTTAATACATAGTGATTCTTAAGGAAGGTTTATATGCATTATACATGCATATTTCACCCGTGCGAAGCCAGGGCGCTAGTACCATATAAAATGATCGTCAGTAGTCCTTTTTGCTTTATCATAGCAAAAGTTTAAATGAGAACCATAGAGAAGGCTTTTCTCTAACAAGATAAACTAAGAGGATTGTTGCATTAACGTTGTTATATAAACCACCAGGCATACCACGAAGGCATGTCAGTGTCAGAGATCACAGCAGAGCTGTTCGAGCCACAGAACCAGATGGTGAAGTGTGACCCTCGCGACGGCAAGTACATGGCGTGCTGTCTCCTGTACCGCGGCGATGTGGTGCCCAAAGACGTGAACGCTGCTATCGCAGCCATGAAGGGCCGGGCTGGGATCCGGTTCGTGGACTGGTGTCCTACTGGGTTTAAAGTGAGTTTTTCTAAATGTTTGAAGTTGATGCTTAAAATATTTTTTATGCCCTTTACTAGATGTCCAAGCAGCATAAACCCTTTTTATGTTACCGCCATCATAGTCTAGTGTATAGAAATATTTGCATATTTTTTATTCTTTGTATTTGCAGGTGGGCATTAACTACCAGCCGCCGTCGGTGGTGGCGGGCGGGGATCTGGCGCAGGTAAAGCGTGCCGCCTCCATGCTCAGCAACACCACCGCCATCGCCGAAGCGTGGGGTAAACTCGACCACAAGTTCGACCTCATGTACTCTAAGCGAGCGTTTGTGCACTGGTACGTGGGCGAAGGCATGGAAGAGGGTGAATTCTCAGAAGCACGAGAAGACCTGGCAGCACTTGAGCGTGACTACGATGAAGTTGCCATCGAGACGTCTGACATGCAGCCTGGATTCGACGACGAGCTATGACGAACCCCGCCGGCTCGTGGCGGGCCGCGCCCCCTCCCGCCGCACCCCTCCGCGCTCGCCGCAGACCGCCCGCCGCCGATACAGCTGCGACGCGACTGCGCCGACACGTACTCAGCGCTCGCCGCGCACATGGACTGCGCGCGCGGCGCCTCCACTGCCTAGACAAGTGACTCGGTGCATGTGCTGTGGTCGGTCTGTGCGTGTCTAAACATGGCGGCCGCGCAGCGTCGCCGCCGAAGCGGACGCCACAAAACCGCGGCCGCACGTTTATTGATATTGATTATTGCAGAACTGGGAAAATTATTATAAAGGTTCGAAAATGTCCGCGGAGGTCGGATGATGCTCGAGTTGCTTGTACCCTACCGTTGACGCACCGATGGCTGCATGGCGTGACAGAGCTGCGCTCCCTCGCCTCACAACCGTCTCCTGTGTTCTCCGTCGAGCAGTCTTGCGACGTCTTTTTTAAGTTTTTTTTCATTGGTATATTTCTTTAAATTTTTTAGCAAATACTCGACGGAGAATTATTTTATATTTTTATTTTACCTTTATTGATAGAAATTATTTTACACGTGTTTTGTGGCGAATCGCGTAAGTGTGCGGTGTGAATGCGGCGCTATTGTTGTAAGTGTAAATGTTTAGTATTTGTGTACGTCCGTGTTTGTTGAAAAGATCAAAAAGTTTTTTTACAATGTACCGTCTGATGTTATTGTCACAATAAAACGTCCAGTTTATTTCCAAACGAAGTTTCATTTATTTGCACAAAATACATTTCTTGGAAACTTGCTCTAGATTTTGCACGAAGGGCCGATTTTTCAAACATCACTTAATTAACTGTAGAATAAGAGGTGAGAGGTCACTGGAGTGGTTATTCTGTGACCGGAGATCCAATTCCTCTCCTCCCAATCTCCAAAATCTTTTTCCTAATCCCCAAATCTCTATTCCTCATATTCTTAACTCCCAGAACGCCGGCAACGCACTTCTAACTCCTCTGTGATAGGACAAAACGACAAAAAAAGCGAACATCTTTCGCATTTATGAGCATTAAGGTGACTGCGCGAGTGTCGTCCATGGCTGGCCCCGATTGCTTGCCATCAGGATTGGCGCCTTCTTGTTTTCCGGCTTATTCCATAAAAAGTAAATTTTTAGTAAGTTTGCCGATTGTGATGTGACCCATGAAATAACAAAAAATAACATCTTTGTTGTCTTCAAATAAATGACGTAAAACTGGGTGAATAGATACAGAAGAGGGTTGAATAAATGTTGGGAAAATATTCTAATATTTATTCACCCCATTCCTGTATCTATTCACCTCGTTTCACGGTATCATTTACTTATGATGGAGCCAATTTGATTGGTGGACTCCATCATAGGCACTAGGCCACGTTATCGCTTACCACCAGGCAAGATGGTTGCCAAACGCTATCCTATTAAATATTAAAAAAAAATCTGATGTAATCTAGAAGTATATATTTATTCTGAATTAAACATAAATCTAGTACACTTAATTGTAACTATACTATTCTAGACGTTACATATTTTATACAGATAATAGTACTTAGAATACATTAATTTTGATATTAGAACTTCATAATTTACATTTAAATAAAAAAAGAAATTGTAACAAATTGTCTAAATAAAACAACAGACTAGCGATTGTGATCCGTACCATTTGAAGATAAGGTGTATTTTCATGTACTTATATCATAATAATATACTGTTAAAGATGCGATACACAATTGAACCAATAAAACACATTTTGTAACTCCAGAATTGTATTAGGAACCTGATTGAAAAAGAGTTCTGGAGAATGGAGTTTCTTGGTCGTTCTTCTCCATAGGAATCTACACCTTAGCATGAGCAAATAGCTTCACTTTTAAACATTATATTGACGTTCAAAAGTGCCTTTCCAGGTCTAATTGAAATAAATGATTTTCACTTTGACTTTAACAAAGATAGACATTCTTAGTCCCGGAAAAATTAAAAACAGATTTCCATTACAACTGAAACGTTAGAACTGAATTTCTTTTTACAATAATAACTTATTCATCATCAAAATAAAAAAAAATTAAAAACATTACTTCAATGAATGAAAATACTCTTTCGTTCATAAATATATTCATTCCATAAACATTTTTTTGTTAAGAGAAAAATAATATTTTTATATTCACAACTATTGCATATTTAAAAACATCGAATGACTCTATAAGCATTTAGTATCTATAATTATATTCTTTAAAACACTTCTACTGATTCGCCGACAGTTCCAATGAATATAACTCTTCAGAAAGCAAGATAAACGTGTAATATTTATCAAGTTATAAAATTAAGCAATAGTAACTATACAAAAAGACATTTGTAACAATGCCTTCGATATGTTATGTTATGTTATGTAAACTAATGCAACGACGACGCTCATTCCTCTAACAAATACGGATTCTACAACAGACATACATTTGACAAATGTTTAAATTATTATATTAACATTATAGCATATATCGAAGGTTCGAGAAGTAGGGCGTTTTCTAGAAAGCTAATTACTTACCATCAGTATCTATGTGTGTGCACGTATTTTTTGTTGTTTATTGCACATACTTTAATACTAATATCAAGAAAATATAAGGTTTACCACGTGTTTCAAGTAGCTACTAAAGCAATTTATTATTACCTAATTAATTTTTATTATCTGTGTATTAGCACATTATATTACATTATCTGTTAAATTCCTTTAATATTATTTCAACGTAACTACCTTTTCTAATAAAATCAAAAATCTACTTTAAGCCTTTTACAGATGGGTAAACCTTAACATGCAACGAACTTCTACTACGTGGAAGTAACGCCATCTATGTTTTATACAGAAAACTACACATTCTAGAACGCCCCTACTTCAAAGTCCCCTTACACCGTCTCCTCGAGTAAGGAGTCGGATCTCTTCAGCTAGAGTTTCCTATGCGGGGGTGACTCTGCCACGCTTGGTGTGAGAGAGAGACGGCGTATGTTCGGTTTGTCGTACTCCTCCATCGACATGGCGCGGGACATGCGTCGTTCCACCCCTGGAGGTGGCAGTGACGTCAGCAAACCCTGGCCCTGGCAGAACAGCAGCAGAGACTGCGCTACTTTAGCTGGCTGTAATGAAAAGTTTAGAGATTGTAACATATACCTTATTAGTATTACTGTACGAACTTGGTAAACAATATAAAACCTTTGTCAGTACAGTAAATAACGTTCCCTGTTTTCAATTTTATTGTAACCGTCTCCAGGGTATATTTGTAATTCGTATGTATCAGAATGAGATAAATAATCTAGATGTCTAAGTTGGCTTAGAACGTGTTGAAATCAACAGGATAACCTTCACTGTTTAAGTATGAACTTAATTAGCCATAAAATTATTTTCCTAACTAACATTTACGTTTAAAGGTGTGTATTTATTTATTTTATTACAGCTACACTGAAACGATGATTTCTGTTTAGCTTGTAGAAGAAAACAAAGACACATGAATACAGAAAATTAACTAAAATAATTTATTTGTTACACAAAAGGATTAAATCATTAAATAGTAAAGCTATAAATAAATATAGTTAAGAAATTATCCGCAGGTACACAGTTTCAAGTATTGATTTTGACATTTTGAAATTCCGTTTAATTGATCGTGTTAATGTAAAAAAGGAATCGACCATCCAACAGAGCGCAACGGGGTCACGCAACAAGCTATTAATGCTACCAACATACTACTATTTCATTACAAGTCAACAAAAATTAGCATTAACATCCTGAATGAAAATTACACGGATTCATTTAACAATTTATCAGTGTCAACACCTCACATGCATACTGGTGTCTGTCGAGAAACCAGATACTAATTATTATTACTATTTGTCACAACAACCACTATACATCTAAGAACTAAAGCACTGATTGAGTTCTTCATCACTTAGTTTAACAAGTCTCACTGACTCCTCCCAGACCCTTGTCGCCAGCTTCTCATCATAAATTAACTCACTAGCTCGAACTCTTTGACAGTTCTTGAAGTACTCCCCTGTGAATTTACCAGCCCTGTCACTCGTGGCAGCGTACAAGGCTGTTTGCGCACCTTCCCAGGGATGTTTGAACAAGATCAAAGCCATAAATGATATAAAACTGGCCCACGCGATCCGAGAACTGTTAAAAATCCTTGTCCCAACTGCTCCTGGATCCACAATATTCACTATAACAGTTGGGTTCTTCATTCTCTTGGCAAGTTCCCGGGTGAAGAGCGCTAAGCAAAGCTTGCTGTTCCCATATATCCTTATTTTGGCCCAGTATCCTGTCTTGTTCCAATTGTTGAAATCAATTTTACCAAACTTGTGCATTACAGATGATGTGTTTACAATCCTACTCGGTTCAGACGTTGTACCCGTCTTCTTCAGAAGCGGTAGGAGCAACATTGTCAGTAGAAAAGTGCCAAAGTAGTTTACTTGCATGATGAAATTCATTCCATCAGCGGTAAGGAAGTCTCCCGGGACCCCGACTCCAGCATTGTTCACCAAAATGTCCAATCTGTCTTCTGTTCTCAATATATCAGCAGCGAAGTTTCTTACAGATTCTAGGGAAGCGAGGTCTAGTAGTTTGAACACTACATTTTCGTTACCAGAGCTTCTTATGATAAGTTTTTTGCCGTGCAAGCCTTCATCTTCGTAGGGGCACGCCACGATGACCCTGGCGCCTCTGTGTGCGAAATCTGCGGCGATCTCGAGTCCCATGCCTGCAGTCCCACCCGTGACCAGTACCGTCTTGCCATCGTATCTCTTCTTGGACTTGCACACTAAATTCGTATTCTTCTGATAAAGTCCCACTATCATGCCCCCGATGATTATAATTTCAATGATTAGTAAGATCACAGACATTTTGGTTTTCAATGTAACATGTTCTAAACTTGTTTCACAAAACTTTTAAGTTAGAACAAAACTTCGGCACAGTTTTGTTCAGAAACTTTATCAGCGTTATATCAGCAAGGGTCTCGGTGAGTCAATGAACGCGGTTTTACTTTTACTTTGGTGTAACAGCGGACGAGTGATTGCGTTGTGACGGTTGCAAAGAGGGGGCTATTAGATTCGCATGCGCCGGCGCGCCTTGACGAAGATCGACATAGCATAGCTTACGTAACGCGAAGTAAAATATTAAGAGATATTCCAACGCAGTTATACAACTTGTTTTTGTAATTTGGTAGTAACTACTTAGGTATATTATTAATTCATCTATTACATAAGTAAACATATTTTTCGATATAAGACCGTGACAGGCCGTGAACTATGCATATCCAGTTTCGAGAGCAATGACTTTATGGCATTAAAATTTCATTACGAATTTGTATGTTGTTTCACACACAAATAGACTACAACCTAGGTCATCACATAGTATTATATCTTATGTTCTAGGCATAACCTTTTTCTATATTAATTCTAAATTTTATAATCCATACTTACAGTTTCAGCCAAGACATCACCAGCTCGGTCCACCTTTAGGATGGTGACCCTTTCTTTGTCCAGCTCCTTGTACATCTTCTCAATGACGGTGGAGTACGGGCTCAGCATGCCAGTGATGAGCAGGATATCTGGCTGGCAGCCGCGGAGGATCAGGTCCTTACGACTGGAAGGAGAGCGATGTGAGTGTAAGTAACGGAATATTTTGTAGTTGAGCCTATTGCCATAGATACACAACAAGATTTTTACAATTGGCAATATTGCAGCGATAGAATATTTTCAATGTTTAAAGTTAATAAAATTTGATTTATTACAAAATCAAATGTAAATAATAAAGTAGCGTTATAAACATGTCTTAAAATCACAAAATATCGTCAAGCCTTTTATGAGCATTATGTCAGGCAGTTAAACTATAAACCAGAATTGTAAATTACAATTTTTTTGGAAAATTGCCACCATGGAAATTCCATTATTCACATCTACACTTTGAAAACTCCATTACCAGATTGATCGATAGCCAAAAATGTTTAATATCTTATTTTCAATAAATAATTTTACTCGACCAAGCTCCTCGTCGTCATCAACCTGCAACTGTTCCACAGCACTGCCAGGAAATGGTTTCTTTACACATGGGCTCTAACAATAAACATTAATTACCATGCTTCTTTAACACACTAAGATAAGACTTAAACTATAAACTTACTTGATAAACGCTCTCACATACTGCTTGATGTTATGAGTGTTCAGATTACCACGCAGCCTGGACCTGTACTCGGCTAGAGTGCGGTCACGTTCACCTGCCTCCAACGAGTCACTCGATATTTGCTGGAAGATTAACGGAATATTTAGACCAAGAAGAAGGAAATGCTTAAGAAACTGAAGTTCTATGCAGTGAAAAAGATCGGTGGTTGAATGTATTCTTTGTTAGTAGAGGAGACACTAAAGAATCTTAAGTTCGGAAGAATTTTAAATGTAATTAAGATTTTGATGCTAATTTTAAAACTATATACTCCAATGGTACAGTAATTAATAATCAAAATATAAACAATCATATCAAATAGGTAATTACGAACGACTTAATACTACAAAAAGAATTCCGAAATAAGAATAATTATTGAGCCTAAGTCAAGAACTTGATCAACTTATCATACATTCAAAACAGAACTCAAAACAATAATACAAAATTTAATATTCTAGCAATATTGCCGAGGAATGCAAAACCCACTAGAAAAGTACCATAAATAATGCAATACCCAGCCTAATGACTACAATATCGCAAAGCTTACGGTGAGTTGCGACATCTATAGTACAGAACTAAGTGGGACCGAAGTTATTACCTTGAGATACTCTTAGTACACCTCAAGTATGATGATTATTTATTGTTTATTTATTTATAATTTCATGTACCAACACCACACAGACAAATTACAGTGATATTAAGGGGTATATTAAAATTGCCTATTGTTTGTGTTAAACTGAAAGATCATCTTTATTCCAATATCAAGGCAGTTAACGTTGACTGTGAACAGAAAAGTGTTGAAGATAAATCCTCCATCAACCTGGCGTGTAATGATAGAAAAATAGGATATTAAAATTAATAAGTAAGGAATACATTCTACCTCTTACACCACTACATTTAAGTTTCATTAAGAAAGTATTGTAATCTAAATTTAATATAACTTAAAAAATAACTAAACATTGCGGGTTATTCGCGTGAACACACTGAGAAAAGTTCTATTAGTTTTGAGCCACAGAGGGGCTCTTCTCAGTGCGTGGTCGCGGCTATATCATGTAGCCTACTACCCGCTATTTTTAGTTAATTTAGTATGTCTCACGACAGTTATTATAAAAACTTAAAACATAATAAAAAACCAAGCATTTAGGAAATACGATCAATGAATGATAATAATTATTCACAATACAAAAAGTACATTACAAAGCTAACTAAAAGCAAAAACTAAAACTAATAGATATTAGTGTGTTAGTCGAAGTTAAGAAGATGCTACTACGGGCAGAGAAGATAGTGGAACTATTTTAATGATGAAAGAAACACATACAAACAAAAAATTTAAATAAAATAACTCCACACAAACATAGGTAATATTATCATTCTCAGAAATAATAAACAATTATGATAGAAGGAAGTTCCAAACAGTGCACATACATTAATTATTATGTTTTCGGCTTACTCACGTAACTGTTTGTCGAGGAACTCGACTAGTTTCAAGCCATGCTAGATGCCAGTAGCAGCGTGACAGTGGACGCGTCGCGGGTCGCGGAATGCTGCTCATGAATATGAGCCACTACATGGCTTGAAACTGATCGAGTTCCTCGACTCGGAAGCCTAAAACATATCTAATAATTAATTTAGTAGTTATGTCCCACGAAAGTTTTAATGCATATACAATCAAAAGAAGTAATATTTCTGAAAACAATAAACCACATTCTTACCTCGAAGTAGCTCAACCCGAGCAATTAGTAGTATTAGTAACAAAAACAGAAAGAAGAAATACCTGGTAGCTAAAATGCTTTTCGGTTTCAAAACTCACGTGGCCAAACTTGTGATAGATGAGAAAGTCCTCTTCAGACTGGGAGATATCAGCTCCTCGCCATCGGGAGAACCGACTGCGGAAAGCATCGGCCACCGAGGAAGTAGACGCTGTGCAGTTGACAAGGATCAGGCCCAAGAGGCGCCTAGGATGGGCCAGCCCGCACCTGGCGAGGACATTGGCTCCTGCGCCTTCCCCCAAGCCAACTGCATATCGCACGTGAAGGAAGTCCAGCACTGTTATGAGGTCTTCACCCAATGTCTGGAGTGATGGGAACTGGTAGCTATGGAAGCAAATAAATTAGTTCACGTTACTACAAAATAACTAAATTTCTAATAAAAACGTTTGAAGTTGTACAAAATCCTGTAAATATCGTTGTGCGTATTAAATCAATCGAATTTAGATCATGTCATATATTATGTTCTACAAATTCTTACTTAAATGTTTATTTTCTCATGTCAGCCATACTGGTTACTTGTGTATCTGACGTGTGTTATAGGGAATTGTTACAATTCAGTCCTTACCTTACCTTTAAAAAATCTATTACAACTTACAAACCACCCCAACCCTTGGCATTCATTTGACTTTCATAATAGTTCTGAATTATTTCAAATGCGCTTTGACTTGCAAAACCTTTTACAATTATATTCAGAGTGTCTTGAGCTCGAATAAAATTAATGATCGCAATTTTATTATTCCTAGTTGTTACTAAGTGCTGGAAAATCCTAAAATTATGTTTAGAAACATTCGACATTTTCATTTGATTTTATGAACTTCTTTTTTGAAAATGGACTGGACATTAGTGTATACTGATCACAATTATAACGTCCTTAGGAGCCCTATAAACAGAAATTAGTATATTTTCAAAACAAAGGTTTTTTGTATTAAGGTATCCGGGCCACGTCTATCAACCATCACCTTATTTATTAGATAGCAAAACACGAAACTATAAATGACTGTACTCACGAGTCGGGTAGATCTGGCGAGTTCTCCTCGTGTCCTGGCACATCCACATGAATGAAACAGGAGCGCTCCTTGATCTCCGACATTGCTGGACTGTTCACGAAGTCAACCATTGTCGAATCTGGAACGAAAATAATATAATGTTAATAGTCTAGAATAATAATAGAAATAGACTCCTTAAAACAAATTACGCATGGCATCGTTATGCTACATACACTTCGAGCTAGCATCTGATCTAAGAACTTTCTAGACAGACTTAACAGTTCTACCAGTAAACTTCAAATAAATCTTCACTAATATTTACAAAGCTAACGAATTTACTTTTTATGACGCACTAGAACCGCTCAATCAGACTTCAAAACATATTAGTATGGACTATCTATTCCACAAAGACATTAAAGATAGATAATACGCAAATCCAATTGTCATATCCTAAATACCTATCTCTTCAGCAAAGTAAATGTAAACTTATTACTGTTCAATACCAATTTGCTCATTGTTTACGAATCCATCAAACTCATTGGTAATCCACCGATGAGTTTGTATGTATAGAGGTAGAACCATGTATGTATGGGTCGTAAACACACACTATCATGGATGTTCGTAATTAGGGCAGTTATTACCAGCCATCGCAAAACATAACTCGTATTGGCAATCATTCAAACATTGGCAAATGAGGTACGCTATAGATAGTTTAAAATACAAGTCATACACGTATCGATTGTGACTGCGAGTCGAGCGTTCGCAAGTGCGACAAATTTGATTCCCGATTCGAGCAAAGTATCACTGGGTTTTAAAAAATTCTCAGTAGTAGCACGGACTCTGGAATTGTGCCGAATGTCAATAGGCTCACCCCCTATTACATGGGAGTAATAACATAAATAGTGAAAACTGGGTGTTACATTATACAGTGGCATTAATTTCCATAATGTGCACCCCTTCGGAGATAAAAGACGTGATGTTATGTTATATATTGATTGTAATAAGTAACTTAATAATTTTTCAAATTACGTTTAGGCCTACGAGAAAACTACAAGTGCAACTCAGATTTTTTTATTTATTAAAATGGATTTGTCTTTTGGAGACCACATTGGCCTTATTCTATAAACAATACTTTGTACGTACACCATTTTTGTTTTATCTGACATTAAGGAAACAAGAATATTAATCACAATCCCAATATTGTAAAGTCGATTGTAACCAAAACAAACTGGAGCTGCGGAAGGCCTAACGGGAGCCGCGGAACGCCTAACGGCTGGCAACCCGGCTCCAGCTCGAAGAGCAAGAGTAGGAACGGGGTTGTTTTAGTCAGTAAGAGTCTGACACTCCCTCATACCTCACATAAGGCGGGAGAAGCCATTGGATGATTTTTCCTCCCCCAAAAAAATACAGAAATTTTAAAAATTAAACTCTATTCATAGTTTTGACTTTTCAAATAACAAAACCCTAAACCTTTGGACCCGTAATCTTTTTCGTTGTACGTACGAAAGCTGTTTTTGGTGCTTTAAACAATTTTATATTTCAAAGGCGTTAGGTCAACAATAAAATGGAGTTTAAGTGGTTCATTGTTGAAGTGGGTTTATTTATCTAATAAAATAAAGTCTCTTACAATGAAAGAATAAAACGCTTCAATATAAAAGATGAACAGTCATAAAAGTCTAATTGAAATGGTGAAGTCATTGTTATTGCTTTCATAACACGGAGTAGCGGTACATCGTGTTTGTTTTTCTGCGATAAATGCTAGAAATTATTAGAAACATACCGAACATAAGGTCACCTCTTTTACCTAAGTTTATACCAGTTATTTTAAGACCATTGTCATACACCGGACACAAATTCGGACTCCTTGCTAAATATACTTAAAACATAACATCACGCCTTTTATTCCCGGAGAGGTAGGCAGACGTGCACATTACGGCACTTAAACTATCAAACACCAAGCGGTCACCGGTGACCGCAACCTATTGTTCTTTAATTGTGTCTATAATAACGGTGCTCGACGAGTTAATGCCACTGTAAAATGTAACCCACTTATCACTATTTATGTTACGACTCCCATGTAATAGAGGGTGAACCTATTGCCATATACCAGCCACAATTCCAAACTCCGTGCTAATACTGAGATTTTTAAAAACCCCAGTAATACTTTGCCCGACTCGTGAATTGAACCCGAGACCCCTTGCCCGGCAGCCGCACTTGCGACCACTCGGCCAACGAGGATATATTATTATGTATTAAAAAAACTTAAAATGAATCTTGCCTCGTCGAGGAAATTCTTCTAACAAGAATGTTATTATAAAACTACCACTAACTTTAAAGAATAAGTAAAGTATGTACTTACGATTGGTCCCAAGATCGTGTACCGTTAAGAACACACATCTTTTATCCTGTTGGCTTAAGTCCCCCTGAAAGATTGAACAAACCAATTAATTAATCTACTTCACATCAAGCTCGGAATCAGAATTAGAGTACAAGTTAACAAAGGTTACAGATCGGAGTTGCAAATGAAATCAAACTATCTAATAAAATAGCTACGGTCTAATATCCTGTGCAATATTGAGTTTTGAGTGTTAAAATGTCTATCAAACTTCGCTACAGTTGAGACCTTTAATCTGTTATATCGCAGAAGGGAATAGAAAGGGTGTCTAAGATACCGTAATAGTATCACCTACGTTTCATAGAGAGGTAGACAAAGGCAACTAACGCAAGTTTCTAGAATATAGGTCATTTCATAGACTTGAAAGACATTGTCTGCCTACATGATATGCAGATCTAGGAATATAGGACGTGTTTAATAAGAAACCTAGCCTTGATTCCTAGTCTAGATAGACCAGATGTTATGTGAAGTGCTGAGCTATTTATACCTACGAATACTAGTTAGATATTGAGGATACTAATCTAGTGATAGGATTAACAAAGACGTCTAATCGTCTAAAGTCTAATAGGTAACTAATTGTATCTACATACTATACAATGAGCTTCCGAAAAAATAAAAGATTTCTACATCTAACACAGTATAGGGAAAAATTCACAAACAAAACACAATCTTAACTGCATCGATTTTATGTTCTTATTTGGTTGTCTACGATTTTTACGACATTCTAACTAGTCCCTATTATGAACTTGGATTGAACTTTTACTTGATACAAATATTACTTATTTTTCTATAATTTAAACATATAGGATACGTTTAATACGCTTCAATTTCTCGAAAATACTACAAAACGCTACAAATGTCATTAAAAATCGCTATGCTATTGGTGCTTCTTGTGATATATCACACACACTCTCAAAAGCTAAAAAATGGTATGAAGTGTGAAGGCAGAAGAATAAATGGTTTATTTAATTCACACAAACTAATAAAAACAGAAGAGTCACGAAGAGAGAGAAGAGTGTAATGTACATACATGAGTGAATTATTAAAATGACCAGTTTAGAAAAATCTAGAAAAAAACACGAGCTTTCGTGGTCGTTCTTTTTAAGAAGAATGTGGTCACTGTGCACACATAATAATTGGCTGTTTTTTTGAAAATCTTTACTCGACGACAAATAACTTTTAAAACCCTACCATAAAAATATTATTATCATGGTGTTTAGTCTGTCACAATTATCAAAAATATAGGTAACATGAATTTATTACGGATGGATGGTTTGAAATCACACTCTGGCTTACCTTATTTGGTTGAGGTATAATCCCCTGGTTAGCAGAAAAAAAAGAAAATATGTAAACGTGTGAATAGAATTATAGAAAAAAAAACTGTGTATAAAGATAGAAATCGTTCGATTTTAAACTTTATTCCTGTATAAAAAAGTTTATTCAGAACTTCATTACCTACAAATCGATGCTAATTAATGGATTCTGATTATACCATCATCAATTTAGGTTCATTACTAAATTACTTAAACGTTTTCAATGTGTAAAGTTGAAGTATATAAGACGTAAACGAACTGCTCCACATTTTAGATACAATGGACATTGACAAGACAGAATTACTAGCAAAATAAAAAAGGTTGAATAACAACCAAAATAAATAGTTTGGGTAACATAATTATTGCCTTTATCAAAACAGTTCCGAAGATAAATAAAGTATTGGTTTTATTTAATTACATTTTAGTTTTAATTTTACTACTTCTTCCAATTAGATACCTACTTTATGATTTTCCTAGTGAAGCTTTAAGCGTACCAGTTACCACAGACGTAAACCAATTCTCCACATTAAAACACAATTTTGCGATGCCAAGATGGCGTCATTTAGCGATTCCCGCCAAAAGTCAAGGGAATTGAAATGGCAAACGGATAAACTTTATTTCATTTTCATAAATGACAAGGTAACAGTATGTAGATACCTTGACACAATTATTTTGCTAGTACAGCACAGTTATGACTAAAATTAATAAACCGATCGCATTTCACAGTCTTTGGAAAATTCTAGATTTTTAAACAAAGATTTGAGATTATGATCGGCTTATTACTATTTCAAACATAGTAAATTGACTGCACGATTGATGCGGTGGCTGGGCAACTGGCTGCCGTGCAACGTGTCGCGGGTTCGATTTCCGCACGAGACAACACTTTGTGTGATCCACAAATTGTTGTTTCGGGTCTGGGTGTCAATGTGTATGTGAACTTATATGTTTGTAAACGCACCCACGACACAGAAGAAAATCCTAGTGTGGGGCAACGTTTTTTAAAAAAAAAATTGAACTGTCAAAAACGTCATTTTTCTATGAATTTTGTACGAGATTGTGTAATTGTATATTGTGACGTCACTTTTTTTAGCGACAACCAGCATAAATTATTCTTAATTTGCGGGAAAAATACTATAAATGAAAGTGTAATAATTTTTTCATATTCTTCTTGTATTGAACTGTCGAAATTATTTATTTTTGATTAAGGAAAGTACCCAATTTGAAGTTAAAATGACACAACCAATCTGAACTCACAATGACAAGAATGTACCTAACCATAGTTAACAAATGGATACTTACTTGGACATGCACATGGATATCACCACTCCGATCTGTGCTGACGACATATTTCTGTAACAAATGAAACATGAATTAGTACCACATTAGTACCTTATACTCAAATCAATGTTTTCAAAAAGTTTGTAAAAGAGTGTCGCTATTTGTGGTACCACGGCGCTTATTCTTAAACTGTCAAACACCAAGCGGTCATCGGTGACCGCAACCTATTGTTCTATAATTGTGTCTACAAAACCGGTACTCAACGAGTTAAAACTAATATCAATGTCAATTTAATTTCAATCCAGTAGAAGCTCAATAATTATCCAATATCAAAACTATATAACCCCAATCGTAGCTATTAAAATAGCATTCAGAGTACGGAATATGAAGCCAAACTCAATACCATTTAGTTCATTCAATATTCACACAATACGGACGCAATGGTCGCCAGTGTTGCAACTTAAGAGCATAAAATTTCAATATCAATGTCGATCGATCGGAATATAATTCAAGGGATTAATGAATGGGACATATTTTCTCTTTGTACCTAGTAACCGCAGAAGGAAGACGTGGTAACAAAAACAAAACTTATAACAAAGGATTAACTATATCAAACAATTTTCTGATGAGAATATAAAAACCTGTTAAAAAAAATGAAGTATGATGTTTCGAAGCACCTTGAAACAACCATATCATCACATTTAACACACATAAGACAAAACACGTAAACACAGACAACACTACACAGCCACGAAGCCACGAAGCCACCACAATTAAGCTGATTACAGAATACTCCAACAGATTAACATAAACCATTACAGACGCGACAGTTCTTACACACTAATCGGGGTTAATCTCTTAGTATCTCTTAGTAAAAATAAAGTATTTTTGAAGAAAGAAAAGAAAGGAAGAAAAGCAGTTCAATAACACTAAGTAACATGACAAATAACATGTACGTTAATAACCTAAATATTTTTTTTAATGGGACAATGCCGCTACATCCTCCCAAAACCGCTGCAATAACCTAATATAGGAAAAGACGAACAAAGGGGACCTATAAAGGGTACAAAAAAATAACATACCATCACGTCTTTAATGCCACTGTACAATGTAACACCCACTTTTCACTATTTATGTTATGAGTCCCATGTAATAGATAGTGAGCCTATTGCCATACATCAGACACAATTCCAAACTCCGTGCTACTACTAAGATTTTTTTTAAATCCAGCTATATTTTTCTCGAGATTTTTGCAGCAGTCGCACTTGTGACCACTCTCAGCCAACGAGGCAGTCTAAAGGGTATAATAATACTAAAGTCATAAATAAATGATTTAAAAAGTAGCTTGTTCTCTCTCTATAGTTTAGTGATAGAAACCAAAGCCTAATAACAATAATAGTAGAATAGATATAGATATTCTAGAGCCGGTTTGTACTAGAAAAACTTAAGGTAAACTTCCTTAAATGGGTGAAAAATCTTATAGTTCATTTCCTTCAGTTTTCATTATTGTATGATTCTCAATAAATAGCATAACAATAGAAAAAACAAGCGTAACCTTGAACTCTAAACCTCTCTATATTATTATCATTTTTATCTTTCACTACAATTCAAATTTGTTTCCAAAATAAATAACTAACTTGTAGATCACAAGACAACAATATCTTCTATTTTCCAGGACTCTAATAGCTTGTTCGTCTAATTACGAAGGATCTCTGGTCCGTAGTTTTTGCATCGCTAATCAATCAGCTAGCCACGCGATGCCATCAATTAGTCGCAGTAATCTAGTCGCGCCCCAATCCCATTACCCAGTGATTGTGGGAAACTCCGATAGGTTTCCAGCTTATTTGCACTCTGTCCCATTTCCCTTTTTTTCCATTTTATTTGTTTATTGGCTCTGTGAAAATAGTCTAGGGTTTTTCTCGAAGCACTTAGGATAATTGCTTTGTTTTTGAATGTTGGTTGGTAAGCTTTTTTTTGAGATGCCATTAGTTAAATCGTTGAAACATTTTATAACCAAAATATTATCTTTTTTTTAGGGTGAAAATCATCCAATGATGTAATTACTTCTCCCGCCCGGGTGAGGCGGAAGAGGGTGTCAGACTCTTATTGACTAAAAACTACCCCGTTCCTACTCCTGCAATTCTAGCTGGAGCCCCGGCAACCCGTTCAGCCCTCTAAGACCGTTAAGCCTTAAGTAAAATCCATTTCCACAAAAAATTAAATTTATAATCACCTGTGTGAGTGATTTCACTACTGAAAGTGGGTAATTTATGTTAATATTCTTATATTTTAGCACCTATCTATTTAATTTTCAAGCTCAATATTCGAAACCTTTCCCGATCCAGTTTAAATTACTAGCCAGCTAGCAACACATACTTCTACATAAAACTCCAACTAGGTATTGCTTGTAAACAAATAGACTAAAATGATCGACCAATGTCAGCACTTCAAGCTTGAGTCACCTATACTAAAACCAATATAAACTGACATTTCAAAACGGCGCTGTTTTCTAGGAAAAATGTCAACAATAATGTCTAAAGCAGAACATTTTCATTATAGTTCCATATTTTCCCGCATTTCAATTTACAGTGGACTATAACCGGTGGACTATGAAATGGGGTTTGTTTAATGGCATTATGAGATTAACTCGATATTGCTAACAGAGTAATGATGTTTCGTGTTTAAACAGGTCGATATGAATAGCAATTACCTATTATTGGTTGGGCTACAATTTTATTATGCACCTAACTAACAAACGTAATTAGTATAAGTAAACCGGATATTTACTTAAACATAATAAATAATGAGAAATGGAAATGACTATGAAAGTTTTTTTTATGGTATAAGCCCATGGACACCTGGAACACCAGTGTGTTACCGGCCTTTTAGGATTAGAAATTTGAGGATTGTTGGGGATTCAGAGATTGGGGATGGGTTGGGGGGGGGGGGATAATTAGGCTTTCGGTAACCTTACTCACACGACGAAACACAAGGAAAGCGTTGTTTCACGTCGGTTTAAAACTTTGTTGAATGGAATGTGTATTTAAAATTTTGTTTAAATGTGTCTACAGCTGTGAAAACTCACTTCTGGACTATGAGCACAGTAATATTAAAAAACTTCTTTATTATATCTATGACTATGAGTCTATGGCCCCCTTCTACAAAGAGAAGAGTTTGCCATAATCTTCTCGCTTAGCAGGCAGTTGATAGAATGTAACGTATAAAATTGAAAAAATAAGAATCATAAGGAAATGCATTATATGTGCCATCTAATTTTAGAGCGCGAGAAAAAAATAAAAATAATGAAACTCAATGTAGGTAGGTATTAAAGTAATGAAAATTAAAAAACAATTTATCACATCGACAAAATAAAAAAAAAGAACAATTAATAGATTATTTGCTCTCACAAATAACACGCCTTACCTAACCCTTAAATCGTCGCGTTCTATTTTCGCGAACGTTGCCGCAAATATGAAGTCGTCTACCAATTGGGTCGGCAGCGGGGTTAACTGGCCAGTTATAACCAACCGTTTGTTTTATGAGAATACTACTGACATTTGAAGTTTTATGACGAAAGGCGACGCACATCCAACCGAGTTAAATGTTACGTTAAGCGGTGATATTTTATGCCAAAACTAAACAGGGAAATGACCAGGAAGTTTTGTTTTAACCCTTTCAGTTTCTGCTCTGAATTAGTCACAGAGGATTCAAGGTGGCGATTAAATTGTTAGATTTTTGGTAGTGTTATCAAATATAGAGTTTAGGTTTTCGTATTCGATATTCTCAGTTAGTAACTTTGTAGGCGTATCGTCCAAGTATTAAAATTCATATTAATTTAAACTATAAATCCCAAATAAGATAATACACAAGCCTGTTAAGATTTTTGACAAGTACCTACTTACAATTTTATCATCTGCATGCAGAGGTAATCTAGTACTAATTAATAAAGATTTACTACCAATTTCAACAGAGTGATATGAACTTGTATGTTTGTGAACGCTCCCACGACATTCGTGTGTGTGGCAACGTTTAAAAAAAATAGGCTTTTAGTTAATCTAGCATCTAGATTATATCTAAAACGTAGCCCTGGTGGATTGCACCGCAGTCAGCAGTCGTTTAAACAAACAACATTAGAGCAACAATGCTTGTTTACAGCGCTACAGAAATAGATCGGTGCGCAAGCGCAACTCCCGATACGTTTTTATAGCGCTGCGGGATGAAGGGTAAACGTAGCGGTAGAAGTTTGTTTGTGCAATTTATAATAAAACAAAAAAATACATTTTTGAAAAATTCAGTGTGCCTGGAGATTAATCTGTATTATCACAATAAACGAAATGTTTATAAGAAATCAATCTTTAAAGTCATAATAAATATAGATACTCTATTCAACTACTCACTCTAAACTGAACCTTTAGTAAAATTTAAAGGAAGAAAAGAAAACCCATAGTAACGTTGGTAGACAATACTTAAACAGTTGTAGAAATACAAATAAATATGCTTTACTACCCACGACTTCTGTATGACGCAGTCATAACGAATTATAATCGAGTGAGACAAACGTTGTTGAACTTATAAACGGTTAATCTACAGTACAACTACACTTAAACCATGAATTCCTTTCAACAAACGGTTTCAAAGATTAAACATCAATTCCCAATCAACACCACAGAGTAGGAATATTCCTTTATCGCTCCAAAACCCCATAAATATTCCCTATCATCATAGCCAAGCACTAAACAAGATTATTCGTATCGACATTAGACATTGAACAGATTTACACAGGACTACAACAACATCGACGTTGTTTTGTTTTTCGCCCAAAAAGTTACGCAACCTTTAAAGTTCGGATCTCTTTAGAGATTTGCTTTGTTTGACACTTATTTAAGACCTCTTAAAGAGTTTGGGCCGATCTCCTAACGTTAAGTAATGCTTGTTTTTCTTAGAAGATGTGAGGTGGTAAGTTAGAATTCTTTTTTGACTTTTCGAAGCACGAAATTCGTTAGTACTAGTAGTAGAATTTGGTATGTTTTGTTAATTCTGACTTTCTAATCTTCTTTATCTACAATACATGC